ACAAATTGAACAAACAAGGTAAAACATGTCCGTTAAAACAAAATGTCTGCTCAACAAAGTTAACTAAGTTATGAGCCGAGGCCTCAGATNAAATTGAGATTCATTCTCACTTCAGAGAGTATTTATGAGCATACAATGTTGTATTAAGTATTTCCCTTATTTTTTTATTTTATTTTATTAAAAGCTGATGCATACGAGCGCGCGCGAGTGTGAGTCGTTGTTATGTGTCATCAAAGGTGTCCCTTTATAAACCATATTGTAATTTTGGCAATTTTTCGTGGAAATATTTAATATAAAAAAATCGATTTTTCAACCCTCGATAACTCAAAAGTACGCAGAGAAAAGTGACAAGTATCTTCGCATGAAATACTCAGAATCACTTGTTTTATAACATGTGTGATCGGCATTTTGACATCGTTTAATAATTTCGAAAAATTTACAGAAACGCAATTTCTTCCATACAAAAAATATCTACATATTTTTTTTTACTACGAAATAGACGTCGTAGGATTGTAATATTTTTTTGCCTTATTAGTTATCATAGCAGTAACCATCAAAAAAAATTTCGTGCTTCTAGCATCAATGTCCATGTTTTATTAAATCGGGACCACCGTGGGACGTAGCTTTGGTACCGTAGAGGTGCACTAAGAAAGGAATTCCCGAAATTCCCACGGGAACGGGAATTAGCGGGAAAATCCTTTTGTATGAAAAATCTAAACCGCTTAAGTTAGACGCTTGAAATTTGGCATGCAGGTACCTTAGTAAACTTAAAGCTTAGTTACAACAGGATATTGCAAAATTCCCACGGGAACGGGAGTTAGCGGGAAAAAACATTTGTATGAAAAAATGTAAACCGCGTAAGATAGATCCCATCAAAAACAATACTTGTCAAAAAAACCAAGTCTCGCAACTCAGTTGTTCTACGGTAAAAGTTGTGAGATCCATGTAATACCAAGTCCAGGCCAGGAAATCTTTAACGTTTTACATAAATTATTGACTTGGCCATCGCACTAAATAATTTAATTTACACGTGTTTTCATGCGATGGCCAAGTCAATATATGTAAAACGTTAAAGATNTAAGCCGGTTGCACATGTTGTCGTAGGCTCTCAGTCGCTTTGTTTTTACACAGTTGAATGTGTGTGTGGGAGCTGTGGTGGGGGAAATGTGGGGACACTGGTTCTCGTTGTAGTTACGCGCGACTTCATATCTATTCTCTTTCTATGATCTGAGGCCGAGGCAGAGTGTTTCCGTAATAAATTGCCTAAGAATCAAGTTATCTGCTTTATGTCAGTGAAAACACATTTGTTTTATGAATTTATGGGCTTAATTGCTTTTGTTCTTGAGGCTGCTTTTCCATTGAAGGTGTGCGAGGAAAATGTGTAGGACGATGTGACCTTTTCAACTTTCAGGAGGAAGTGATAGAATTAAAAATGAGGAGATCTGTAAACGAACTAAAGTCGCTGACATAGCCCGACGGATTAGCAAGCTGAAGTAGCAATGAGCAGGGCAGGGCACATAGTACGCAGAACTGACGGCCGATGGGGCAGCAAGGTTCTGGAGTAGAGGCCACGTACCGGAAAACACAGCGTGGGACGTCCACCCACAAGGTGGAAGGCGCTGGATGCAGGCCGCTACCAACCGCGCGATATGGAAATCATTGGGCTCCCCCAACGATAGGCCTCCGCCTATGTTCAGCAGTGGACGTCCTGTGGCTGAAATGCTGATGATGAAGGAAAGAAGATGAGTTTTAAAGAGTATGCATTAACAGCTGTTGTGAGGCGGTGTGCAGAAGACCTTACAAAGCTTCTGGATTGTAGCTAGGTTCGTACTTTGCAGTCTTCTTCCATCAGATACTTATTAAGAAAATTCTAATAGTAGTTAAATGCGCATCTTTTGGATTTAATTAACCTTTCAAAGAGAAAAATGGCTGTTGGGGTAGATAGTTCTTATTGGCGACCACGCATCCGAGAGTGGTTCGTCGTTTCAGCCAAATGACGTCCACTACTGGACAAAGATCTCCCCCAAGGATTTCCATAACGACCATCCAGGTTCTTCCCGCGACCTTCACCAGATCGTCGGTCCACCTAGTGGGAGGCCTGCCCACGCCACGTCTTCCACGCCTTTGTATAGCAGTAAACGTCCTTTTGTTGAAACGAACGAATGGACGAACCTTTAGTTGATTGCATCAACATCCCTGTTTATCTTTACATGCATACGTAAATGTAGACAGATCTTAATTTATTAATGACTAGCGGCCGCCCGCGACTTCGTACGCGTGGATCCCGTTTTACCCCCTTCATCTGTCTTACGCGGTTTAGATTTTTTCATACAAATGTTTTTTCCCGCTAACTCCCGTTCCCGTGGGAATTTTGCAATATCCTGTTGTAACTAAGCTTTAAGTTTACTAAGGTACCTGCATGCCAAATTTCAAGCGTCTAACATAAGCGGTTTAGATTTTTCATACAAAAGGATTTTCACGCTAATTCCCGTTCCCGTGGGAACTTCGGGAATTCCTTGTTGTAACTAAGCTTTAAGTTTACTAAGGTACCTACATGCCAAATTTCAAGCGTCTAACATAAGCGGTTTAGATTTTTCATACAAAAGGATTTTCACGCTAATTCCCGTTCCCGTGGGAACTTCGGGAATTCCTTGTTGTAACTAAGTTTTAAGTTTACTAAGGTACCTACATGCCAAATTTCAAGCGTCTAACATAAGTGGTTTAGATTTTTCATACAAAAGGATTTTCCCGCTAATTCCCTTTCCCGTGGAAATTTTGCAATATCCTGTTGTAACTAAGCTTTAAGTTTACTAAGGTACCTACATGCCAAATTTCAAGCGTCTAACTTAAGCGGTTTAGATTTCTCATACAAAAGGATTTTCCCGCTAATTCCTGTTCCCGTGGGAATTCTTAACCATACTATAACCTGCCCAGGAGTATGGAGAATAATTGTACCAAGTTTCGTTAAAATCCGTCCAGTAGTTTTTGTTTCTATAAGGAACATACAGACAGACAGACAGACAGACAGACAGACAGACAGACAGACAGACAGACAGACAGACAAAAATTTTACTGCTTGCATTTTTGGCATCAGTATCGATCACTAATCACCCCCTGATAGTTATTTTAAAAATATATTTCATGTACAGAATTGACCTCTCTACAGATTTATTATAAGTATAGATAGATAGACTAGTTAACTACACTCCTTAAAATTTAGTGTTTAGTACAAACCAAAGACCGATACTAGCAATATTTCCGCCATTTCGAGCATGAATAGATTTTAGGTCGTACCTTTGGTCTAAACCCGGGTATTTTGGGAAATGGACCTACACCGGACATGTAACATGCTTCAATCACAGAGCACACTCTGGAGAGCTGTATTTACCCTGTATATAAAGTTGTGTGTGTCCATTATACAACGGGAAAAGTATAAAAAGGTTACAAGGAATCAGGAGGTTGTAATCCAATCACCAGTATAGCTGAAAGAAGCCTGTAGCGGTCTAGATAGGCTGCTTGCTTTCTGGGGGGGTCTGGGATAGTTGGAGTAGGAAGATGAACCACAAATCTCGCACAATGGCTCAATCAAGAGGTTCGATTACCCTGTAAAACTAACTAATATCAGGAGGTTACAAGGTATATGAGAAAAACCTTTCAACCTTCATCTGTCATTCTGTTAAAAGATTTGTGTTTTACCGTAAGTATAACAATAGGTTGTGTTATTGTCATTGATCTCTACTTACATCACAGAAGATATAACAACAGTATGTCAGAAGAAAGTTTTTGACTGAGAGAGGGAAATTCCTATGCAAGAGTACCTCCCTAGTACTCGTAGCTACTACAGGATTACATATAGCTACAGAATTTGCAAACAGTCTATTATGTTTTGAGTGATAATATTATGCAATAACTGTGGACTCTAGGTTAGAGGAGAAAATCTGAGTAGAAATTTGGGACGTTTATAAGCGCCCTGGAAAAGGCCTAAACACTAAATAAAAAATTTGGATTATACTTTGAGTATGTTTATTATTTTTGTCCGTTATCCTGCATTAGGTACTAAATCCCGCAAAACTGGTTTCCCGTAGGAAATGGCTCTAAGTATCTTCGGGAGTAGTACGGCTCTAATGGTCAAGCTATAAAACGTAAGCCGAGAATTTATCGTTCCGTCGTAAAGAATGGAAACGTGCCACTTCCCGTGCAGTGCCGAGTCAACATAATGGATGAGCATTGCATTTGGCGAGCGCCCAAATTTACTGCCAGATACTGTATGTATGTGCGGCAGTGTATCACGGACGGTATAGCAAATTTTGAGATGGAGGGAGGTTAGAGCCGCATTCTAGGTTAGGAGGTTGGAGTGATTGGTTTTTAGTTTTGAGTGACGTAAGAGTAAGGGTGAAGGAAAGGGTGTACAACATAGTCAAGTAGTCGAAGGCATTTTGTGTGGAGTTAGGTAAGGACTTTAGTACATTTTTATGAAAACAATTTTGAGCGCTAAGTTTTTTTTTTAACCACAGCGAGGAAGCTCTTTTCCTGTATCTCACCTGATGGTAAGATACAGATATTTTTCAGCGTTTAAAGTGTCATTTTAGTGCAACCCTTTGATTGAAATCAGAATGTCATACGAGGACGTTGTTTCATCAACCAAAGGACGACTACGGCTAGAAATTTCCTGTCCTGTGCTGCCCGCATCCACGGGCTTCCCGTGACCTTCACTAGATCGTCGGTCCACTTGGGAGACCTACACACACCGAGTCTATAGATCATCAAGTTTCCACTGCAGGAACACGACTAATTTACCAGAGGCAATTTGAGTACGAATAAGGCTGTAGAATTCATCATTTCAGCCACAGGACGTCCACTGTTAAACATAGACCTCCCCCAATGATTTCCAGATCGATCGCCCGGTTGGTAGCGAGCGACCTGCATCCAGCGCCTTCCTGCTACATTTGCCTACTACCCACACTCTGGCCAGATAGTTTGGGCAGGCCAACCCTTTTACTTAGTAGGTAAACTTGTACTTACAAGAAGTTCTTGGTTGGTGCTGCTGAAGATATCTTCACCCTGGAACTGCCCGTCCCATTCAAGGTCATTCAAGTCCCTCGTGTGTCTGACGATCTTCGACCATTTTAGTTTTGGGTTGCTAGTGAAAAAAAAAATTAGAATCGAAAAAAGTTGGGTGTCAAATACCATATTCGTTCTTTCGTTTCACCCAAACGACGTCCACTGCTGGACAAAGGCCTCCTTCAAAAAAATATTTCCTGCGCTACTCGCAGGTACTTCAAACGACCTTCATTAGATCGTCGGTCTACCTAGTGGGAGAAATAAAAAGTAAATTTCAGGTTTTAAAGTAGAAAAATAGGAAAGCACTTACTTTTTTAACTGTTCCGGGGAATATTGGCCAACTCTTGCGTCTACGCATGCGAAGATGAAAACACAAACTATCACCACTGCCAAACGCATTCTGACCTGCAATCAATATTTCAAGTTTTAGGTCTAGAGCTATAAGCGACGGCTGACTGACTGATTTCAGTCAGTGTCTGAGGTATATATAAATTTAAAATTAGATGAGATAGGAAGCAAAATAATTTAAATAATATTTACCAAAATAATGTTTCCTTGTTCGATGCTAAAAAACTATTAAACCAAATCTACCCAGAGAGCAATTTATAACAATGTCTGGTAAAGTCCCTGGAAGTTACGTATTCCTACTACAAGCTATGCGCTCAAAGTATTACAAGTGGACTGTTTTATCAGTTTTAGTAAAAGTATTCAAAAAACTGTCACGGCGGGACTATTCGGCACAGCTCTCGTTCCCACCGCTGCAAATCCTGTGTAGCCAGGATCTACAGCTTGACCGTCATTAAAAACCCAACCGGCGAAGATCAAGTTTGTCCCGAGGGAAAGTTAAACTGTCTCTGGACCCGCAAAAAATTAATCGCAAGAACATAGGAGGAGTTCGAAGTTAAGGTTCGACTTCCCTCCAGTGCAAAGCGGAAAGCATCTGTTACTGGATTACCTACTTTATCCTCCGGGGATTCACTGGTATTTATGACACTGGACTTTATGACGCAACATTTACTAAATGCTAGAATGAATTCAAACAATAATTACTCATACTTGTCATGAATGATGTAGGTATGCGCGTTGCCAATGTTGCCATCACACTAAATCCCACCAGAGTAAATACAAATGAGTAGGTCATCTTCATAGAAACGCACCGAGCGCGGTTTGTATGTCCCACGATCTATTGAAGGTCGGGGAAAGCACTTTATTGGGCACCTAGTTGAGTGACTTTGAAGTCAGATTGTGTCGTCATTCATCGTTACTTTCAATGACTACTACGGGACATGGATTCCCACAACGATCAGTGTTGCGCTGTCCGTATCAAAGGTCCGGTGAGCTTCCTTCATTATATCGTTGGTTAAAAGGACGAAGCACACTTACCAACTCAGAAACGGATCGTAACCGTATCAACTCGAGGCGTTTAAAACTCCGTACTCCAACGCACACTTATCCGTACCGTAACGTACCTAAACGCCCCGCCTCGCGGCGAAAGGCGATACGGTGTCGATCCCGTTCCGGGTTTATAAGTTTGCTATGACCTCTTATCATCATCATGAGATTGGGGTCAAATACAGACAAAGTTATATATTTATTGAGACTATGTATAATTTTATTTTTTAGTAAATTATGTTCCTAAGTGCCAGATTTTTCACAAAGTTGAATAAAGGTATTTCATTTCATTTCTTCATAGACCTGGCCCTTAGTCCTTACGCCCGCCCAAGTCGTCCGCCCACAGAGGGCAAGAGACCTACTCCTGGCCCTCTAGCTGTCTGCGGTTGTCGAAGACCTGCTGATTGTAGCCTCTGGCTTCCTACAAACATATAAAAAAAGATTTAAACTATCATCATCATCAGGGTCATCTCCAATGCAGGAACGCGGCTAATTTAGCAGAGGCAATGGAGCATTTGGTCTAAAATCAGGTCAGATAGAATCAAATGGTGGCGCATGATTGGGAAAGTCGACCCCGCGTAACGGGATAATGCGAGGCAGAAGAAGAAGAAGAATGGAGGATTTGGTCTACACGCCTCACGCTTGCTAAACGGGTTGGGGAGCCCTGATGTTTGCAAAAAGACCTCATTTATCTACATATATCATCATTTTATTAGCCACAGGACAAACATAGAACATAGGCCTTCCCCAATGATTTCCAGATTGTACGGTTGCTATTCGGGTAGCAGCCTGCATCCAAAATTGACGTTCTTTGACAGAATAACGCTGGACATGGCCTTTTTTACCACCTATTAGCTCAGTAGAAAATAGCTGTGGCCCAAAGCGGAGAGAAACGATATTGAGTGGAGTAAGCGGAGAGGTGATATAGAAATAATGAAATCCTTCCTCTCCACTTTGAACAGTAAAAGAAGACTTACAGAAAGATCTTGGTTGGTGCTGCTGAGGAGATCTAAAAACTGCAACTGCTCGTCCCATTTAAGGCCATTCAAGTCCCTCGTGTGTCTGACGATTGTCGACCATAGGTTCCTAATTAGAGAAACAAATTAGAGTAGAATGAAGTCGGTTGTCATATTTCGCAAGTATAAAAAAGTATATTATCGACATATTTTTACAACTAGCTGGCCCGGTGAACTTTGTACCATCTCCTCTATCCGCTCTCTTCCCTATTCTACCCTACACTACACCATGCCTTAACTACCTAAGCACCTACCTTCCACTTCCACTGCCACTTCCGCTTCCACTTCCGCTGCCGCTTCCACTGCCGCTGCCACTTCCGCTTCCACTGCCACTTCCGCTTCCACTGCCACTTCCGCTGCCACTGCCACTGCCGCTGCCACTGCCACTGCCACTTCCGCTGCCACTGCCACTGCCGGCTCCGTTTCCACTTCGGCTGCCGCTTCCACTGCCACTTCCACTGCCGCTTCCGCTTCCACTTCCGCTGCCGCTTCCACTGCCGCTGCCGCTTCCACTTCCACTGCCGCTGCCACTGCCACTGCTACTGCCAGCTCCGCTTCTACTGCCGCTAAAACTTTTTTCACACCGTTTAATAAAATTTTCCTGTAGTAGGTACTTTCATAAATATTTTAGGACAATTTGGCTATATCGGTTCAGCCGTTCCGATTTTTGGCAACTCATACAAAATGTTAAACCAACTATAAAATACGCAAAATGTTACAGTTTTAAAGATAGTAAAAAACCAGAATACTTACCTACTTTTTTAACTGTTCTGGAGAATATCTTCCAGCTCTCGCGTTCACACATGCGAATATGACAACACACAATAGCACCACTGATTTTGTCTTCTGATCTGGAAGAAATAATTACTTAGTATTAATTCCTTATTTTATTAACTCTTCAACTCACAATACTTAGTATACATATAATAATATATTTCTTTCGTCCGTTTCAGCCAAGTGACGTCCTCGGCTGGACAAAAGCCTTCCCCCCCAAGGTTCTGCGCTGCCCGCATCCAGGCACTTCCCGCGACCTTCACCAGATCGTTGGTCCACCTAGTGGGTAGCCTGCCCACACTACGTCTTCCGGCCCGTGGGTACCTGTGGTGCCACTCGAGAACTTTTCTGCCCCAGCGGCCATCAGCTCTGCGAGCATGGTTGTCGGCCGTTTGGTGTCGTGGTTCAGAACGGACTACTATGCTGAGAGGTCCCGGGTTCGATTCCCGGGCAGAAATTGTAAAGATGAATTTCTGTGACTGGTCTGGGTTTTTCTTTGTATAAATGTAGTATTTAAAACGTATATAAGTTAGCAGCACCCATAACACAAGCATGAAGTTGCTTACTTTGGAGCTAGCTGACGCTTTGTGAAATAATCCAAAGATTTTTTTATTTATATTAAACCTAGATATTTACCAAGTGTTTCCTCGTTCGGTACTTAAAAACTACTGAACCAAATCTAACCAGACTGTTATTTATATTTAATTCTCAAACGGTTAGATTAAGTCCCTTGATTATAAAACTGATTAATGATAAAATTATAACTTTCAAGTGGACTATTAAAGTAAAATTATTAAAAAACAACAACAACAACAACAACTATTACTAGAATAACCTTCTATATCCTTCGGTGATTATTGATATCATTCACGAGTCAAGTGATTTTTTATGACTCAACGTCTCAGAATAATTTCGTTCTTTCGTTCGTTCGTTTGTTTCAGCCAAATGACGTCCACTGCTGGACAAAGGCCTCCCCCAAGGATTTCCATAACGACCGGTCGGACCGGTCCTGCGCTGCCCGCATCCAGGTTCTTCCCGCGACCTTTAGCAAATCGTCAGTGTACTATTTTACGTGAAATCTTGGGATGTTATGTATGCTCGTTTGTCATTACAATAAAGGCTCTTTCACATGGAGAGTATCCCGTTTTTTTGCAGGATTCCGTTTAGTAGTACAGCGAATATCCCGTTTGCAGTGTCCCGCAAAAAACCGATCGATTGGAATTTGGAATTCGAATTTTAAACGCACATTTGTGTCTTCAGACAACAGTTTTGCGGGATCCTGCATTACTGGATCCAGGGCTAAAGGGCCCCCTAAGTTTGTCCCTCGCGGGTTCGAACCCTATAACTTTTTATGTTGCACGGAAAATCGATAGGTACACGAACCACCAGGCATCACGGCTGCCGTTTTACCTTATCTTTATTAAATTATTTAAGTCTATTAAAGTCAAATACTCGCGGTTATACCTACATATAAATAAATCGTTTATTTCAATCGTCAGTTTTCGTATCTACTGTCTTTTTGTCTAAGATAATAAGAAATAAACGAACTTTTTCATAGAGAAGACAATTAGCCCCTGTCCGATTTTTGTAGGCAATGATATTTCGCGCTGCGTCTTGTGTGTATGTGTAAAGAATAATAAGTAAAAACTTGACGACGTCACTTTTAAAACATTTCTTGGTCGTATTAGTATAAAGTAGTATTAGCACAGAATAATAATAAGTACTTATTTACACTAATAAGTTGCTTTTGAATTACGTTTGTGACACTGAACGTTCCCATTATCAGTCACAGTCACAAGCAAATAAATACGACGACGCTTTTAATAGGCGCTGTTGAATTTGAAATACCGTTACACGTAAACCCCAGATGACTTATTCGCCCGTACTCATGTTCCAGATTATAACAATGAAGGTTTGCGGCAATCTGGCACCGGATCTGAGTCAACATCGACATACGGGCACCGGGGATTTAGGTCGGCCGGGGACATCCCGGATTGACAGCTCTATTTAAACTAGCTAGGGTACTACAATAGGTAGGTACTCGTACTTAGCTTGTGTATTCTGTGACTAGGCAAGTGAGTAATTTTACTACATCAAAGTGAAGTCCAATATCTGTCCATTTACGTTCAAAGTGGAATGATTAAACTCGATTTTGATTCAAGATAGGTAGTGCATCATGAATTAAATAAGCCATTTCGTCAAGTTACTTATCCTACTAATATAAATGCGAAAGTTTGGATGTCTGGATGGATGTATGTTTGTTACTCTTTCACGCAAAAACTACTCAACGGATTTTGATTTTTGATGAAACTTTACAGTATTATTGTTTATAACCAACCAGATTAACATATAGGCTATAATTTATGACGATCAGTGACAAAATAAATTTCACGCGGGTGAAGCCCCGGGCAAAAGCTAGTAACTTCCTAAAGTTAACATCATCCTCTAGCCTAGATCTCCCAACAAATTTAGCTTTTTATAGCCCCTCAAAAAGTGCCCTACTTAAAGTTAAGTTAGTGTAAGGCAGTAAGCTAGCTAGTTCTAGACTAGAACTAGCGTGGTTTGTTATTTGTAAGTTATTTCATTACCGCGGGTACCTACTATGTTTTGTTTGCAAGCTGGCAGCTGCAGTCTAATGACCAAAGTTTAGGCTAAGTTGCACAATCTTACTTTAACTTTGACAAAAGTCAAAAATCTGTCAAACTCCCTACAAAAAGCACCGGTTATCGATATAGTTACCGTTAAAGTTAGGTGGTGCAATGGTCTGATGCTGCCAATAAACTGTTGCAATTTATTTCGTTATAATGAAGGTTCTATATTATTTACTATAATAATTTACGAAACTAAACCAGTACTTACAATTATACTTATTTTTAAAAAACAGGGCAGCTAAATAAAGTCGTTTAAAATGTTGTTAATAAGAAAACTGCGTTTTAACGCCATCTAGCGCAAACAATGAACATTTGTGTCGTACTTAGAAACGAAACGGCACCTCTTAAAACATTACAAACTGGTTATATAAATATTCCACAGATGGCGTTTATTCGCATCATATTGAATATGGTATTCTAAAATCATAATAAATGAAAACCTATTAACATTTTAGTGTTAAAATAAACTTTTCAATCATTGTAAAATTCAAATGTGGTTTTTCATTGCATATAAAGACCAAAACCACCAGCCCAAAACAAAGACGGTCAAAGCGGCAACAACTGAACATTTGTTTTCTCTTTCTAGCTAACATAAACCGTCAATAGTAGCGTCTCGCTTACACGGCAGCTGACAGCGCGCCATGCGCCATTCGCAGTAATTCCCACTCTCGGTCTCAGTCAGTGCGCGTTTGTTGTCATTCATTATGGCCGCCGCCGCGAAACAGGGCAAAATAAAACTTACAGACAATGATTTCGACTATGAACAGACCAAATGTAATTATTTCGAATTAATAGCCAGTACTCCGCATCTAGCATTGACGCGTCAAAAGTACACAGAAGTGGTTAAAACGATGACAGCGAAAATTAGGGCGACGAAAAGACAGAATAATAATAAGGTTATACCTGACACTCTGAGGTATGCGGGACAATATTCGGAACTCCACGATGCCGAAATGTTTTGGGAGAAAAAAACAGCAGTTCTCACAATGAAGCGACATGAAGACAGGGAGTTGACCAAGACAGCCGTAAGGTACTTTCCTGTAGAAGATTCATTTGATGTTCTTATTGAATTCCATAGATCATCACACCACGGTGGATTGACGGAAATGGTACATTTTTTGAGCGACAAAAATTACGTGACAAACACTATTTATCTAGATTTCATATTGCTGTCTTGCAACGTTTGTGTTGCAAACGGTCGGAGAATTCATAAACTTGAGACCGATATGGACAACCAAATCGTGATTGGTCGTTTAGGACGACCAGGCTTTAACCGATTCGTAGAACTTAACATTTTCTTCATGGATCGTAAAGAAGAATTTGGAAATTTCAATTTTTTATTTATGTATTCAGACTACGACACGTCGTATACGCTAATAAGGCCTCTTTTACTAAACTGTCCATTTGAGGTATCTACAGAGCTGCTAAATATATTCAGTGGTTTTGGAATACCAAATGAATTCTTAATTGGTAACAAGAAAAAGTATAAGTTTTTTTCTAAAGTTATGCAAACTCTAAGTAAGTTTGTTTCAAAACCTTTAAACCAAAAATTGACATTAAAGCAAACTATGAAAACTGTAGAAATAGTAGAAACATTTAAATCGTGGATGCGAGAGAAAGGCTTTCAGAATTGGGCTATTGGCTGTCAAATATTTCAATTGGAGTTTAACAATAAAGTTTGTGATGGTGATAAACTATCCCCTTATTCCAAAGTATTCAATAACACCCTTTCAACACTCCCACAAAAATATGAACAATACCATGAAGATAGTGTTGCTTTAGAGTTCGAAGGAATCGAATTGCCAGATTTGCATAAATGTTTGCTTAATGATTCGCAGATGAAAGATAATGACGAATTAGCAAATGACCAGGCAAAGCAAATCAATCAGGAAGATGCGGATACGGATACACCCATCATGTACGCCGGCCTTCCAGTATTTTTACCGGAAAATGAAATTAAGAATGAAAATGATCAAAACCACAAAGGAGTTTCGGAATCAGTCGCGATTGATTCGGATATGCATAACCTCACTCAGCATATGGTTGAAATAATAATTCAACCGCCAGCTTCAGATGAAGAAGAAGCAATCGATCCCAGTGAGATAGTTTTGACCACTGATGAAGTAATGCCACCAGAATTAATTTTCAGAGAGGAAGAAATGAAGGAAAGCGAGGATACAATGTTAATAAAAGAGGAAGAAGGCAATATACAAGTAGAATTATACTCAGAAACAGGTGAGATCAATTTAGATGTGGATGACGTCACGGAACAAATACCTGAAATGATAATAAAACAGGAAGAAATAGATACGTACCTAGATTCAGAGGAAGTAGTTAAGGACTCTGAAGATATGTCAATAACACTGATACAGAGGATGGATGTAGAACCGAATGAGAACATTCTAGGTATTTAAATAAAATATTGACGTGTCCTGAATTTGAAATAATAATTTGTGGGGTCCCTACACTGATTGTTTCATCGATTTGATAGTGATATTGCCCTCTCGCTCACACGACGTGAATTAGACAAGGAAGGGTAGTATAGTGAACGAATGAATAATTCCATTCATTCACCACAGATTGCGTTCAGTTGTTGTTTTCTCACAGCAGAGAATATTTTTTCTTACGCAAGAAAAAAATTACGAAGATATACAGAAATAAATTTGTTATAATAAATTATGTTGTTTGTTTTTAATAGTCCATAATTATAATCGTGAAAATTCGATTTGATTTTAATTTGTGCCAAAGAGTGACATCTATCGTACGTACAAATAACTTTAACAAAGGTACGCACACAATTTCAAAAAGCACATCATCGCTGGTAAAGATTTACATTATGGGTAATCAACATCAGATGGCGCTGGCCAATCAACACCGCGACGCTGCAACGCCATCTAACGTTGATTATGAGAAATATTTATACCAACGAATGTTGTGCTTTTTAAAATTGTGTGGAAAATGGAAATACACGTCTTCGTTAAAGTTATTGGTATTTAGTATTTACGATAGATGTCAGTTTTTGCGTATAAATTAAGAAGACACGTTACGGCACGTTTTTACCCGACTTGGCAGAAGGAGGGTTATGTTTTAATCAAATATAATTTCAGAGCAAGTTAATATTTTTATCTGTACTTAAAACGAATCACAGTCCTTGATAAAAATAAGTAGTATCACAGAATAATAAATCTCTATTTATTTAGGTATTTTAGAGCACAAGATGGACCGACGACCTCATAAAGATAGCAGCCACTGGGTGCAGGCTGCTCGCTACCAAACCCGGTCAATATGGATATAATTGGGGTAAGTAGGCCTATGTTCAGCAGTGGACGTCCTAGGTTGAAATGATGATGATGATGGCACAGTTAAGTTGTTGAAGTAAGTTCCTTTCCTACCAGTAGTATGTGAGACTGTGACGTGATGCTACGTCAATTTATGGCGAATTTCCCATCAATCTTTGTCAAAACGTAATGTAACTAAGCCTCTGTAATCGAAATTGAAATTGGGTCGCACGGTCGTGTAAGAATCATTAATTGAATACCTTCTTTAATAACGTCATTTGTAAGTTACATAGGTGATAAGGGCTTTTATAGTTAAAGAGAAGATTAGAAGTAAGGTGACGTCATAATTGTTTAAATTCTGAAAATCTATCGAGGACAACCGAGGACAATTTTAATAAAATAAATTTGATCCCTATGAATTATCTAAGCACTTACTTCTATTCTTACAGACTTGCCTACATTTATTAATCCTAATGAATCAATAAACTTTATTAAAATTTTAATTCGATTTCACGACACCAGAGAGAGTCAGAACGGACTACTATGCCGAGAGGTCCCGGGTTCGATTCCCGGCCGGGCAGAAATTGAAATGATGAATTTTAATTTCTGTGACGGGTCTGGGTGTGACTATGTGTATATTTATGTATTTAAAAAAAGTACATAAGTAGTATGCCCGTTAAGCTAGCACTAGCACCCATAACACAAGCATTTTAAGTTGCTTACTTTGGGGCTTGCTGGCGCTGTGTGAAATTGTCCAAAGATTTATTTATTTATTCATTATTTATTTATTTATTACCTATAATAATAAATACACTTTATTGCACACCAAACAAATAACATAACAGAAGAAATGGAACACACAAGGTACAATTAGGCGGTCTTATCGCTATGAAGCGATCTCTTCCAGACAACCTATGGTGAGGACAGTTACTTGAAACAAATATGAAGGGGAAGGCGGTGTCGACACTAAAGAAATAAATTATAATAAAAGGCATACAATTTAAACCAAAATAATACATACAAATAATACACAAAATATATTAATATATATATTATATATGTTACAGGAAATGTATGAATTCTAGGAATTGTATACTATTCCTAGGAAATGTATACAATTCCGAAGCTATTTAGGAAATGTATAAAATATTGCTTCAGAGATTTTTTAATACGCACATATCCTAGGAAATGTATACTTTTCCTAGGAATTTTATAGAATTCCAATATTGTATTAGGAAATGTATAAAACTAAGCGGCACAAGCGTGGTCGCGTGATCGGGTGTCCCTCTGTACGCCTAAAATTTCATTTAGCCCAACCACATTGGCCGATAGGTACTTTTAACTCACAATTATTATTGTTTAGCCTGACAGTTGTTTTCGCACTATACCTATACCTTTCTTTCGGCATCACGCATATTACGCTGAAGTATTGGAAATCCCTAATTTTAACATCTCTTTTATTAAACTATTATTGACATGAAGGTTTTAGTACTCCTGTAGCTGGATAACAAAGTCTCGGTTAGGTTAGGTTAGACTTGCGACCTTACACATACACAGCTGCCGCGGCGCGGTAGCGCCATTTAAGTTTCGGAGAACAAAAAGTGGCGTAATAAAAATAATTTTGTGTAAAAAAAAATATCTTAATTACATTTCCGATTGCTGTTTAGGAAATGTGTAATTTTCCTAGGAAATGTGTCTAATATAATTTACATCACACATTTCCGGGTGATTTTAGGACTTATACACAATTCCTAGGAATTGTATACAATGACGGATTTCATACATTTCCTGTAATATATACATATATAAATTATAATATATACTTACATACACATACAATTCTAGATACGAACCAAAGATAGAACTAGATAGCCAGCAGAAAATAGATGGGAATTTTATTAAGGTAGCAGCGTGAGGAAGTGAGACTTGAGTCTTTTCTTAAAAATAGGAAGTGACTCAGATTGCCGAATAGACATCGGCAAGGCGTTCCATAGACGGATAGCTTGAACAGTGAACGATCGCGTATAGGAATGTGAGGTGTGAGAAGGAAAATTAAGATGGAGTTTTTTTTATTACATTACATTACATTACATATTATCACGTCACAAATTCACAATGTGCTTTACTCGTGGAATTAGTAACAAAACAAGGTGAATGAACGTGTTATAAGCCCTCCGAACAAGTTGCTAACAAAATTATAGTAGGTACCTATAAGCTGTTTAACTAAGCTACATGGTAGGTATGTTACGGTCAAAGTGATAAATGTGAAAATTATGAATAATCGCCGGTTATTATGAATAATTACCGCATGATTTGGTTAATGTGATTAATGTGAGGTCATTTATGTGTGTATAAAACTAAATAGGTGGCTTAGGGGTGGCCCAAGGGCCACCCCCGCCGCACCTTAACCTATTTTTCACTTTAAATCAAAACATTATGTTATAGGCATAATGGAAAAGTAATATTATACAAGAAACACTCCAAACTCATTACCTATGCCAAATTATATTAATATATGTTATCAAAACGTTCAAAAGTTTGGCTGTACACGAGTACGTACACAAGATGTTGTTCTCTTTTATGAAATTTGTTAGTACTAAGCTTGAATTATTAAATAATCACTGTTAAATGTGATTCATTTATCACTTTTACCGCGACTGTCGGTAATTATTCATAATAACCGGTTATTATTAATAATTTTCAATTTATCACATTAACCGTAACAGGTACATGCTAGTCTTCTATAAATATTAGAACTAGCTTTTACCCGCGGCTGCTATCGTGTGAATTTGTATCTAAAACATTATTTTTCCTCTGTAAAAACAACATTTTCGTAGAAGCATGTCAAACATTCGTCATAAATAGACTATATTAGAAAATTATTTTATTGATTCCCCATACAAACTTTCGTCATCTTTCACCAGAGGGTAAAGAAAAAAGAAGAGAAGAAGAAAATCTTGAGAAGTTTTATCTTCGCGACAAATTAATTATTGTCATACATCAAAATTCATCAAAATTGATTCAGTGGTTTGATTGACATGAAAAGGAAACAGGCAGACAGATTTACTTTCACATTTTTATTATACTATGTTAAGTAAATAAGCACAATGTGGATACTTCTCGTGAAGTGAATTTACCAGAATTGAAAGTTTGCTAGATATTAAATACTTAAAAAAAAGGTTTCTGAATGGGGGCCGTCCATATATTACGTCATTCTAAATTAGGGGGGGGGGGNTTTGCCATAGGTACTTGGTCCACAAAGAACGACATATCAACTCCCTTTCAAACATTAATTTTACTGGACATGGACCGTCAGTTCAGCGTACTATGTGCCCTGCCCATTGCCACTTCAGCTTGCTAATCCGTCGGGCTATGTCAGCGACCTTAGTTATTTTACGGAGCTCCTCATTTCTGATTAGATCTCGTAAAGAAACACCAAGCTTATCCCTCTCCATAGCACATTGTGCCCTATATTCAAAGGCCACGTTTTCGAGCCGTATATCATCACTGGTAACACACACTAATTGAAGACTTTCGTCTTCGTATTCGACGATTTACCTCTTTCTCGAAATAGGCTAGTTTCCTAAAAAAATTTTTTTAGTCCGTCATGTTTAATATCAAAAAATATTGGACACATATATTTTTATTTATCAATCTAACAAATAATTACATAGTTATGGTGCGTTGAAGTTCCGCACAACGTCACAACGTGATTATGAACTTTGGCGCGCTTTATCTCTTTAAATTTTCATTAGTTTGAAAAAGTGAAAAATACGTGTAGAGTATTTTTTGATAAGTTAACTGACGGACTAATTAAAACTCTTGCTTTTTGACCCAGGAAACATCCCTATTGCATCTAACTACCTAGCTGATCGTTTGTCCGAGATAGACATACTTACTTGTCAACAATCTCGAGAATCGAGCTCCTAACCGAAACTGGGTAAGGAGCAACATGGACATTCGACATAAGCTTCGTTTTTTCCATATTCATCCGAAGGCCTACCTGTTGGGAAACTCGATTANAATTTAAAAGCAAACACTATTTATTAGTAGTCGATTATTATTCGAAATTTGTTGAGGTGATATCGTTAGTGAACATGAAAAGTGACACGGTGATTAACAAAATGAAATGTATCTTTTCTAGATTTGGTATTCCTCGGAAACTTGTTACAGATAATGGCACGCAGTTTACGTCGTTTGAATTTCGTGAATTTACAAAGAAATGGGAATTTGAACATGTCACTAGTTCGCCTCTGTATCCTCGTTCTAACGGGCTAGCAGANTAGGGGGGGGGGGGTCTAAAATCTGAAAAAATCGATGACGTAATTTATGGACGGCCCCATGGTAAGTCCATATAACTAATGTGACCTCAGATGTAATTAATACATACCTACAAGTCTATAACAACGAATTTAACTTTGTGTTATTAACCCTTTATAAAGCATAATATCATACTGTTGAAAATATTATGTACTAGGTACCTAAGTAATTCGTTTTAGACGTCTTTATGATAAGTTATTATGCTTCAAATTTTGGCGATGAAGAATTCCTTATTGGGTAAATGATAAATGGTGATCTAAAAAAATTATGACGTCTAAGATTTTAAGTTGCATATTTCCTAAAAGTAGGTAAGTAAGTATTATAAAATGTTATCAGTAGATCAGTAGGTAAGTTAAGCGACACACTAACTAGGTCATTAATTAATTAATATCTTATAATATTAACTATGGTTATTTTACAAATGTATAGTTTATGAAAACATTCTCACATAAGTATCTACATCTGGTAACTTTACCTTAATCTAAATCTATTTAAACTAATTAAATATACTCCAAAACGCCGGAAAGTGGACTGGCAAATAGGTAGTAGGTAGGTATCTGTAGAATAAATGTTTAATTCATCCTAAACCGTACTCTAAATCCCAGAGCCGGTGGAACCGGTCTTTACGTCAGATGTCCGGTCCCTGATCCCCTCCCGATCCCCGGATGTACGGATTCTCTCAATATACTACAAACATCTGAAAAAAGTCCAAAAGTAAAGGCAATCAGTATCACAATGTATGGCCTGTTACTAGATTCGCATAGTGCTGTTAATACCTCCTGAAAAATTTATTTTTTTTTTCAAAAAATTTTTATCCATATAAAAAAATTATGTTTACAATTTATTTTTATAGCGTTTATAGATATTTTCAAATTAAGAGCAAAATATTTTTTATAATAAAAAATTGTTTTAGAATTTGAGAAATCTGTTTGCTTGGCTTAAATTTCAATGTACACAACCACAACACATACAGACAGTATATTATAATACACACGGATAAACGGTCTGTCTGTTATGTTTTCTACTAAGTTACTAATTTATTTTTCTATATATATTTTAGGTAAGTACCTAATTGATATTCTGTCGGCGACCGTACACTAACTAATAAATACCCTAGTTTTGAAAATACTCATCTTATAACACGTCGTATCCCAATATTCCCAATTGCTACGTAATTAAAATTATTTTGATTACCATTCTGTAATGTTGACGATACCTTTGTAACACAATTAGAATGTTCAAGTATTCCGAAACTCGAATCGCATACTTCCAAGACAGCTGGCACTTCTGTTTTATTTATATTCATTGGTTCGCTAAAGTTATTAAACTTCGCACCCAGACAATGGGTTCGGCAAGAAACCAATTCTAAGTTTCAATTTTGGTAAATGAAAACGTAATTAATTCTGATTCAGACCTTTCCGGCTGTGGGTGGATGTGTAATTGTGTTTTTGCACAGATTTATTGACTGTGTGTGTATTTTACGGTGATTTCAAATGATAATAGGGGCACAGCTCGTGGAACTGATGGCCGTTGGGGCAGAAAAAGTTCTCCAGTGGCGATCACGAAAAGGAAATCATAGCTTAGGCTGGTTTTAGAGTCAAGCTGACGCACGCTGACCTTCAGCGCTGACAGACGAAATGTATGAAGCGTCGGCGCCGAGCGATCAGCGTCACTCAGGAACGTTTCCATACATTGATTTGTCAGCGCCGACGATCAGCGAGCGGTCAGCGCGATTCTAAAACCCGCCTTAGACTCTATAGTCTACCAGCACTCAGTGGATCAACGACCAAGTGAAGTTTGCAAGCAGTACAGGACCGGCCGTTATGAAAATTCTTGGGGAAGCCTGACAAACTGTCAATTTGAAGAGAAATATTTTACACTTGAGAACAAGACTAACTCTAACCCCTGCAATTGCCTGGCTGGCAATGCTGGAATGGATTATGTAGCATTAGTTAGAACTTAGAATCAGCAATGAATGAAACTTGTAGTGTAAAAAAATGTGTATAAAACGTGTAGCTTTGTTTTAAGTACAGTTTGTGCAGTGGGAACTGGGCACCGTGCCTTTTTTAACTTCATGTCCATGAGAATTTTTGGAGAAATGCAACCATTGTTAGGTAATTAAGCTTTCCAAAAACATAAATATATAATTATAGAGAAGGTTCTATAATATTAAAAGGAGGAAATTTTCGTGATAGGTGTGGCGATTTTTAATAAGTAACTACTTAACACTTAACTATCGTTGCTTTAAAATCAATAATAAGTTTAGTTAGCCAACAAGTGACATGAAAATTCATTACATCATAGGTTCCTGTAACAGTTTTAACAACTTACACATTATTATGTCAATTCATTGTCAATGACAACTACTTATACCCAATTCAAGATCATTGATCAATCGATCCAGGATGATTTGGCATAATTCATTCATTGATATAAAATGAGAAAAGTACCTACACTTTATTTAACATTACCGTATTTCAAAACCTAATCCCTTGAAACGAAAAAAAGATTCTAACCAATTCATTCACAAGCGAGCAAGCTGTAAAACTTATTATAAGTTAACAAGGCAATTACGATTCAATATTCAAACTATATTCATTCACATTCACTCCAACCCAAAAAGTAAAAAAAGTGAGTTGTATCAACTCTGTACGTATACGGCTGCCTTTCTCGCCCGCCCAGCACTATCACTTCCTGTTACTATAAAAATGTTTGTGCATTCTTGCAGTTATCATTGCACTGAGGGACGTCGCACAACTAAGCATAGACAACATGAGGACCTTTGTAAGTCGAACATTTTATTTTTTATTTAATTTTAAGGATTTACGAACAAGGATGTGAAAGTGAAAAAGGATACAACTAAAATTTTAAGAAAAATAATAAATGTAATATCTAAATATTATTTTTAATTTTGAAAAATACTAAAATTATAAAAATAACATTTTAATATGAAATAACAAATAATTAAAATATTTTAAGAAACAGAAATCATAAATGGATACAGAATAAATAAAAAAAGGGAACTATAAAATAAACTTGCAGTGAATTATTTTGATATTATTTCAATAATTAATTTAATTTAAAAATAATACTGCTAGCAGCACAGCTTTTTGCAATAAAAATACAATAATTAAGATTGTACAGTTAATAAGTTTCTAATTAACAACCAATAAACCTTATTTGGAACAGACATAAAAGGTTAAAAAACTAAATACAAAATTAGTTCAAGTCAATTTATTTGAACGCACAAAAAGTGCTTAGTATTAAAAGAAAAAAACTTCTTTAGATTAAATTCTTACCATCGACAATAGACGCCTTACGTTAACTGTAAACTTTCCTTTTGAGCGACTCAAGGAATTTTCAAATAAACTCTGGAAATATTAGTAAAGTAAAAGCAATTTGCGAAGCACTAAGCACTTTATATTTTACAACGAAAGTGAATTATGTTTTTCTTTTTTGCTTAAAACTTTTGTGTGAATTGAAGATATTAGGTTTTTAAACTAATAAAGATTTTGATAAGAATCACAGTACATTGTATAAGTGGCATAGATTTATAATATCTTACATTTTATTAGCATCAAGTCGCAAAAATGGTGTAAATCAAATTTAAGAAAAATCCCACATTATGATAGTCTTTGTTACTTATATTTTAATTTTGAACATTGAATTAATCACGAAGACATTATCAGATTACAAATGCTAAACCGCGAATTTAATTTAAACTGTAATTAGTGATAATGACGTGACTTAACCGCTGACAATAGGAGATGTTATCAAACAATAGTTTTGTTATGATTGTGATCAGTGTAAAAGCATCGCTAACCTCGTGATGGCATTGTTTGCAGCTCTGTTTTATTACTGAAATGAAGAGTATTATACAAAAATTTCGAGCGTGCAATTAGCGGATATAAACCTGAAAGTTATATTACAATTTGCATATTATTATTATAATCCTATTATTTTTATAGTTACGATCAAAAAGCTCACGTTACAAAAACAGTGCATAAAAACTTGTCACGTAAAAAACTACACTCATCAATTTATCATGTCGACAAATCCACAAAAAACGGATTGACATCCTATATCATTCGTCACAACACAACAGAATGCGTTGTCATAGCAACAGATTCGCGGAAAAAACAGAACAAGTCGACTGAAAAAACTTCTCATGCGTGATTAATAATACAGCGATCAATAGCTTGTTTAATCGCCCGGCTTCGGTTGTTTAATCTTGCGTTAGGCATTAGGCTTAACTGTTTGCGGACTATCAGGTTTATCGGATCCGCTTGACAGAAATGCGACATCTGATTTAAAATTAAATGTGTGACTCTAAGAGTCACAGCCACACGAGTTGTCCATAACCAGATATATTGGTCCTATCTTGAGATGAACCAATTTACTAAAAGGTGAATGTTTGTACAAAAATTAAAAGTTTGTAATTAGGACAACGCGATGAAGTTTTGAACAAAAAGCTCAATGCATAGCCCTACGTAATTATAGTTTACTTAGGGTGAGAAAATTTAACCACTGCCTTTCTAAACGTATTGGAACAAACAAGCAAACAGTAACCTATAAACTATAAACAGTAGATCATCGATAGGATGGTATCTTTCTTACAACTCAATGACTCACAGTGGAGCTTTATTATATAACGCACCTTCAGATAGTATTATTAAGTGCTTCCTAATAACAACCGGTCACTATAACAAGACATCTAAACTTAGCTTTAAACCTTTAGATATTATTCTGTAATAGTCACCACATAGAACTCATTTTATTTAATTCTAATTTAACTTTCTTAGCGTCAGGAAGTGAAGGGATTAAGGCACCTTTTGCGACCATAGCTTTCATAACGTAGGATTTTCTTGTGCGATTTGTTGATTTGATAAATACTGATGTCCTACATAGTATTAATTGAATAACTCAATAAAAATACGGCAAACTATCTAGGTCTATAATGTTCTTTATAAAGAACTAATTTAATATGAATTCATTTCAAGTGTTAGTTTTTTAATTAAAAAAAAAGCTTTAAGGAAGTTTTATCATAGGTACTTTCACTGTGCTGTGCTCTGTTCTATGACACTCAAATAATTTAATGTCTTTAGTAGCGACTCTAAATACATCCTAATGAATGGATCAATATAAGTGATAGTTATTCAATTAGACGTATCTTTTGATCTCGTTATTCGATCAATTATTATGTCTATACTGGTTTAACCGGTACATGGAGAAGGGACACATTCACTTTTGCATCTTTTTTTGTCAATTTAGAGAGGTTAATCCGTCGTTACTTAACAAGTATAACATTTATGTAACATGCAGAAGTTTGTCTGTATCCTACTTTATATCATCCAATATAACACAGTTGTATAATTTCATAATATTAAAAAATAAAGTTGTCAAAATGTTTTTTCAATTAAACAAATAATCAGAAAATTCACATTTGACACACTATTTCACAGATAATTTCGAAAGAAATGAATAATTTTACTATTATAGTATTTCTACCACAAACCTTACATTCGTTCTAAAATTAACTCCAAATGATTCACTAAACCGCAATAACTTACACAGATTAAAGACCGGAACAAACGCAAGCTTTTATGAATTAACGTAACCGGAAATGTAACGAACTGTAAAATTATGCAAATAACTACTAAGTTACAAAAAATTAGATCTAGAGCTGTGTTAAGATGAGATTTAGTTCTTGGAAGATGAGATTATAATCCAATCTCCACGTAGACTTGCTATAATAGCCAATATTAAAATTTATAGTATTATAGAGTAATTTTCAAATCATCTTTGTAACACAATAGTTTTCAGATCAATAAAGAAAGATAGTCGTAACTCCATTGTGCAAAGTTACATCATTTTATGCAATGCATTCTTCTAAAGTAGACCGAACGTAAATGGGCTTTAGCAGAGCGTGACTCGGCCTATGGTTTTTATAAATACCTACATCTTCAAGCTTAATTTATGGTGACATTATTGAATGACGGTTTTTTTAAGACGTCTTTTTGTTGAACGAAAATAATGGGATTCAGTAACAAGGCGTAACATTTTTTACTAGAGACGTATCAAATTTCTATGCCAAATAAAGATATCTTTCGTTTCACACTCAATACCTCATCAGATGCTTACATTAGAAAGGTAAATAATACCTGTCGTAATCGCGTTTAATGACAATGATTTGTGTCACTACATACATTTGCTTTTAACTTCCCAGACGACAGTCAAAGTCAATGAAAATAATGACTCATTGTTTTAGTAATTTTTGTTATGATTAATGACACAGAAATAATTTTGGACGTAAAAGTAATATTTATTTTATAAACCAGTCCACATATTGAAAGTAATGTAATGTAAGCTATCGAAAAAACTAAAGAAAGTTTTTCTATTTCAAAAATATAATATTTATAATGCTAAATCTCTTTTTAATTCCTTAGGCCTACGTAACATATTACAGCACAAATGTTACAAACATCAAGTCTTAAATAATATCAAAACAATAAGAAAAACGTTGATTACTCATCGAACACTCGTACGCAAATTAGTATGCGACTACACTGACAGGAAACTATAAGATTACGTCATGAAGTAGTAGTTCTTAGTACGTAACAAAGCTTAAAAATCCATTGATGCTTGAGCATTACTGCATTATACCTTGCTGATATTATTAAAAGCAATAGTTTCTTTTGTGATACTGGTGAATGTGGAATATTTTTTTATAGTCGTATAGACTTTTTTATTTTAAGGTTCGATTTTTAAATAATATTCAAACATAATTTGGTATTTGATACACTATTTGCACACGAGTGATACGACACAGCATTATAGCTTGGGGTCAAAATAGCATAGTAGCTTTCAATGTGTGAAGGCATTACAAAATTACATCAACTGGAAGTTTGTAATTTTGACCATGACCACTGGATGTGACCCCATCAAATTCATTCATATTACATTAGGTTATTTGAGGTTTTTATTCTTATTCTGAGGTCTTTGAACTCATTTTGACGTTATGCTATTTTGGTTTTTGTAGTCATTTGTGGTTTATTTTGGAAAAACATTGAACTAGATGATAAAATAGGATCTCTTTACGAGGTTATACTTCTGCTAATGTACCTACCTATACTACAATTTGTAGGTAATCGATATCAAAATACACTATTAAGCACGGGTGTTTTAGTTCCAATAAGTAGGTAACTAATTTTGCATATTGTGTTCTGTGCTTATACCTATGTCTTTCTTCCCGCTGCAGTTGCGATGGAAAAGTCACAACATCGCTCGCAGAACCACTATAGGGGAGGACTAATAATGTCCAGCAGTGGGCTTCTAAAGGCTGATGATGGACTCTTAATAATAATCTGGTCTCAAAACGCAATCGGGTTCAAATATTTTATGTCTATGTTTTAGCACGACCTTATCCTCCTTTCACCCATAGACATAGACAGACATCGATCAATCCGAAATATCTTTACATCCGATTCCATTACATATTCAGCCAATCACTTACGTAAAAGCGTTTTTTCATTATTTCCCGACTCCGTTGTATCGCTTTTGTCATTTCATGCTCTGATTTCAGCTATAATGTTCATTGTGTTTATACATAATAGAAGGTATCTGAACATTTTGTAAGAGTAATCGATTGAATGTTGTGCTGGTGTAAGCAAAATTGACAGGTGGCAAATTGTGGTTGGGTATTATGCGACAACATAATTAGATTTTTTTCCAAAATCTCATTTTTGCATTTTTTTAAGATGCTACATTGTTTAGAATGTCAGACGAAACGGCGCAGATCAAATTTTTAATGATAAAAATATGACAAAATCATATATTTAAGAGAGTTAAAAAGATTAAAGTATTTCTATTTTAGATTAAAATATTAATCGACTTCTTATTGTCTCGTAATATGAAAACCCTAAAAGAATCCAAGGAGATTCAAGCTTGTCTGTGATTGGTTTAAAATTCAATATTTAAAATTAAATTCAAACAATCAGGCTTCAATAAAATTTATTCTTGATATTTGATAAAGTTACAGTCTCCGAAAAAACGAAAAAAGGACGTTGCCAAAAGATAATATTATGAATATTATAATATATCCACGGAATGATCGGGTTTTCCATGGAAAATATATCACTGGACCCTAAAATCAACAGATCTTACAATCGACTTATTCACCTCTCTTCTTTTTATTTGTTCAACTTCAGTAACGAATTGTGGTCGGACTGATGTTTGTTTTGCATTAGCAGTCACTGACTCCTAGATTCATTTGGTTTTTACAAAAAGTAGTAAGAAAATAAGTTTATTTGACATACAAAAGCTTCATCATAGGTAACAAAACAATCATAAAAAGTGAAAACGAAAATTTAAGAGAAGAAATAAAATAATAATCCAACATTAATTAAGATTAATCATATTTTAAAAGTTTTAGCTTTTTGTTGCACCGTTTCTAAGACTTAATTCTGTTGCATAAAACAAGTAATTTCATTTTGATTAAAATATAAGAAAGACTCAAGAAATAAAGAATTTCATCTCGACTAAAACTAGACTTATTTCTTTGTCTAAGTAAGAAAATCACGTTTTAAACCTGTTATTGCTCAACGCAGAGTTAGCACAAACTTAATTGATCAGAAGAATATAAAAAGGCTGACTATAAAATAAGTATTTTGAGTTGTACCACAGAATAAACTTTTTATCTAGATGTACGAATAATGTATTATTTATAAAAAAAACCTCAATCATCTTGTATTAAAAAATAATCTAAATTCGAACACATTTTTAAATGAAAACAAAATCATCAACAGAATCTCAGTTAACCAATTCGTCGTTAAACAGTTTTTACCTTTTTTTATGGGCAAAAAAAAAACGGTAATTACATTAATGAAATCATCCGATGTGTATCTTGTTTTAAAAGTTAACCGCGAATTATGTAATCGGGAAAAACCAGCTCAATCAGTGTAAAAAATAAAAAAGACGACTTTTGCTCTGAAACTGTTCGTGGAAGTGAAACGAATTCAGGTCAAAACACAAGACCTGTAATTTATTTCTTTTACTCAAATTAATCACTGGTAGGTATAATGGGGTGGTGGTTAAAGTTGGGTCATTGACTCGGAGGTTCTGGGTTCTGGGTTTGATTCCTAGATGGGATATCGAAGTGTAAAGACTGATTGTTTCTTCAATTGCTTATGGTTCCTCATAAAAATCTGTTAAAAAGAAGTGTAACCTTTTTAAAAACTTGTTTTTTTTTCACTGTTAAGATACGATATTGTTCAAGTTAAAGTTTACCTAACTTTAACTTGAACAATTGTTGAACTGTTTATTGTTTGATAGAAGATTATTCGGAATCTAAAATGTTTTAAAAAAAGTTACGAAAAGCATAAAAAGTTAAATCAATCGAAAAAAATCTTAAAAGTTCCGTAACTGCTCTCATAATCTGCACGCATTCAGACCAAATTATCTAATTGGTCTAGTTGGTCTAGACTGGTTTATTTATAGAATAACATGTTCAAGCTTAATTTAATCACCTGTCTTTATCGCGTGAACTACTTTCATTGCGTTGGCGGCTAGCAATTACTTTCTTAAGCCAAATTTGACCAGAAAATAAAGAAAAAAGCGTAGAATAACCCCTAAACTTGTATTAATAGTGAAAAAGGACAATGCCAAATGTTGCATGTGCGTCAGGAGCATACTTATTTATCCGAAATTAAAATAATTGAAAGTGTTAATTTGCGAAAAATAGTAGTCGGACTCGAAATGTGCTGTCGTCAATACTCCATTCATGAAAAGGAGAGCAATAGCATCATTTTGCTTGATGAATGCTTTGAACCAAATATTGATTTTGTTGTGATGAAAAGAGGGCAGCAGTGTTGAACCTTTTTAGTATTCATTAATCCAGTAGCTAGGCAAAAGAGTCTAGTTTAATGTGGATGGTGTGACATTCAATTATTTTTTAAAAGTGCCGTTAACCCCTTGTGGTAAGCTAAGGTGGGTTCACCACAATACTCCGGGGGCGGGGTCCTTCTAACCCGTTTCATATAAAATGTAAGATTATCTGCTTTTGTAGTTCACCGTGTGCAAATCAATTCATCTTTCTTTCTGATACTATGATAAGTGACAGTGAAGTGGACATACGGTGAATGTTGAGTGAGAGTGTGTCAATAAAGTTTGCTTTTCATATCGCAATTCAATAAAATCATTCGCGAATCTGTACAAACTTCAGCACGCTAGTTTTTGCAAAATGATATCTTGACAACTGAATAAGGAGCTAGTGCTTTTAATTTGATGTGTTGTCGACTGTATAACACTTTAGCCAAATTGGATGCCGAAAGTGAATGTTATATTATTCTAGTTTGTTTTTTCTCGGTAGCCTTTCATTTCCAATTAGTGTCCCAAATAGTGTTCTAAGACTTATTGTCTTGTTAACTAGGTCTGAACTGGCAATGATTGAAAAATTAATCGAACAAACGGGACAAATAATTTCAAAACTTTTTTTTTTCATTTCTTTTCCTTTTGGCTTTTCTAATGCCAGTCGAATTTTTCTGGAGAACAAAAGTGTAATTTAGTTTTTTACTAAAACTGTCATTACCTAGCACCTAAATGTTTTCACTGGGAGTACTTTTATACGAATGAAGAGTTTTTTAGAGCTTTTTTAGATTCTGGAGCAGGGTAAAATATCTTTTATTTGTTTACGGTAGCGTTCCGTTTAAAAAAAATCGCTTCAGAAGTTTAAACAGCTCTAAGTCTGCCTTTAGCTACAAGTTTGTAAACGTGTATTTACAAGTGGCTTTAAGACTTTCCCTTTGTCTTCATTACAAAGTCTGACAATTTAATATCTTGAGACTTTGAGTGGGTCTCAAGACTCTCAAGTCTTGTTTGTATAAGTCTACATTATATCATTTCGGTGTCGACCCTTTCCTACGACTATTATATTATGCCAGTAGACAATATCATCGATTTGATAAATTCAATTTCTGTACGTTTTGGAATCATTTATAATCTCTATAGCATTTTTATTTATGGTAAAAAAAAATATTTTTTTTACATTTTTTAATAAAAAAACGTGAGCCAAAATGGGACGTCCCACATAAATCGGGACACCTAACAACACTAGACGAAGCCAAATCTTTCAGTAATTTTTATTAGCTTTATTTTTTTGCTTTACTTTCATTTCATTACGTAAAGCGCCATCTAAATGTTAATTCGGTTTTTGAAGAACGGTCTGATGAACAACCCAATTCTGCCCGAAAATAAGGAGTGTAATTTTTTGACGAATAATAAAGTCGGGGAAATCTAGTTAATTAACTATGTTCATGGAATATTCCATTGCCATTAGCAATACGATTCCAGGAGTCAAATTAGTCTAAGTCTAGTCCAGTTCTGTGAACTTAAAATAATTAGCTAAAAACTAGAATTAGGATTACTCACCCTAAATTCTCACCTAACAAGGTTTCAGAGTTTAAAATAGTAGTACTATTACCTGACTTACTTCCCCTAAATGGGGCAGAGAGCGTCCACAACAGTCCTCCAACGCGTTCGGTCTTGAGCTTCGCGTTTGATCTCGCTCCAAGTCTTGCCGATCTTCTTCGCCTCGTTTGCCACAGTACTATTACTTAATAGTAAGATAATTAATAGATTTGTTTCTTTCCTTCCAGGTATGTTTGTTAATGGCGGTAGCCGCTTGCAGAGCTGGCTTTGAGACCAGCGGCCACGGGAATGGGGTTGGAGACGAAGAATCCGGTGGGGGCTACGACTACTCAGCCCCCCTCCAGGCCCACAACTTTGGGGGGCAAGGAGGCCACGACTTCGGGGGACAAGGAGGCCATGACTTTGGCGGACAAGGAGGCCACAGCTTCGGTGGACAAGGCGGCCACAGCTTCGGTGGACAAGGAGGCCACAGCTTCGGCGCGCAAGGTCACGACTTTGGAGGCCAAGGCGGTCACGGACAAGGTGGTCATGACTTCACCCTAGCCTTGACTCAGGGAGGTGGACAAGGTGGCCACGATTTCGGTCAAGCTTTCGGAGGACACGGGCAAGAGCAGCAGAGCTTCGGAGGCCACGAAGGCGGATTCGGAGGCCACGGTTTCGGAGGCGATTCTTACCTGCAGGCTGCCCACGATTCGGGAAACCATAACTTCGGCGGTGATGTCAGCGGTCATGGCGGTGAATCTGCCGGTCACGGTGATGAGGGCGGTCACGGAAGCGACTTCGGAGGCCAAGGAGGCCACGGCGACTTCGGAGGCCAGAGCTTCGGACACGGAGGCCAAGGATCTTTCCAGCTCCAGGACCACGGAGACGAAGGATTCGGAGCTCACGTCATCCCCGTTGGCGAGCACACTGATGTCCAGAGCCCCGTTCAGGTCCCATTGTACAAGCACGTCACCGTCCCCGTTCACAAGCCCATCCACATCAACGTGCCCAAGCCCATCTTAGTTGGAGTACCCCAGCCTTACCCCGTCAAGGTCCCCGTGAACAAGCCTGTCGCTGTCCCCGTTGAGACTGAGATCTCTATCCCCGTTGAAAAGGTTGTCCCTTACCCCGTCGTCAAGCACGTGCCTTACCCCGTTGAAAAGCACGTGCCCATCAAGGTTGAGAAGACCGTAACGGTCCACGTGCCCCAACCCTACCCCGTTAAGATCCCCGTATACAAAACCATCCACCATCATAGTGGTCATCATTAAGACCTCGATGTGTTTGGTCGTCTGCATGTCTGCGTGTGTGTTCCATTGTAAATAGCGTTGTTGATGTTGTTGTTGATTAATTTTAAGTCATTTTCAACTGTTCATGTTGTAGTTGATTTATTTATTGTTTGTTGATTTTTTTGTTGAACATAAAAGTTACCACTTGTTACCTATTTGTGTCTTTTATTCTTCTTCTTGTCGAGTCGACAAGAAACCTATACAGTGTCAGCCCAAAACTCCGCTACAATAGTGGCGTTCGCGTTGTCAGTAGCTATCATAATATCTTCCTGCGTGCAGTGCAGTTGTTTGGGCACGCAGGGCACGACATCATGTGCTTCATCGACTGGAGATAGGGAACAAAACAAAACTTCCACGTAAATTCTACCTATTATTATAATAATATTGACATTGTAAATTGACATCGTGAACATGACATCTTTAAAATTATAACATCAAATACTTCCAGTTAAAATTAAGATTTTTCAATATTTAATTTTCTGAAATTATTAACACTACGAGTAATATGCATGCCGAATTAATAAATAAATGTTTTGTAAAACACAATGTTGCTGTGCCCAAACCGGGTCTATGTTTGAGACTATACAATATATTGTTTAAGACCTTTGTACAACATAGAATGCAATAAAGAATTTGAATTTGAAAAAAAAAAAAAAAATTTTGAAACCTTTCATTAATTCAGTTATTTCACACTAAAGAAGCAAAAGTTACTCAGAAAGTGATGATCAGACTGAAGGTAAAGCTAAACGTAATAGAAACTTTGGCATTTCCTATAAATTCCTAAATAGAAGTCACTACGAATATAGATTCTATGAAAAGTTCGCTAACGTGTATTCTTCGGCGAAACTAGCTCATGTCAGACAGACATCTCAAATTCTCGACACGGAGCAAAATTAATATGTCTCAGTCTTTTGCTGTTTAGATGATGAATGTGTGTGATGTTAGGATCACAATCATAAGGCATGGAGTACATTATTACCTTTGTTTATTTCAATAATATTCTACATTTTTCTCTAATGACAGACAGTTTCAGATTTTTCAAGATTAACATAACATTTTTGCCTCGCTTTTGACGAAGCTATACATATAGGCTTATTAATCTAAGATTAGTAATACTCTCTAATCAGTGAATTTACAACCACTCTATGCCCCTGCCTGAGTAACGTTTGTAGGGTAGCATCCAGGCAGAGCTAATCGCAAAGCCTTGTAAGGGCTGGGATTGGAACTGGATTGCAATTTGCACGTCTTCACTACCTGTCATAGTCACAGGCAGAGGCTATATTGGACTGAGAATTACATGTCACATTTAACTGATCTATACTAGGAACTAGAGGTCAGATGAAATAGGTTACACAATCGACAGCAAGGCTTAGCGATGTGTGTAGGGAATAGGTATCTATCTATATTTCGCCTAAACCACTGAACCGATGTTGATGAAATTTGGCATAGAGATAGTTTGAGTCCCGAGAAAAGACATGGGATAGTTTTTATCCCGGTTTTTTTAACAGGGACGCGCGCGATAACGCTTTTCTGTGACAGACAAAATTCCACGTGGGCGAAGCCGCGGGCTGAAAGCTAGTCAACTATAAAGGTAGTTAGGTACATTTTGCGACAAAAATGTATGGTTTGACATCGAGATGCTAGCTAATTACGTGGACTAAAAATACATAAAAACAGTTAACATTGTCTGTACTCATGCATGAGGTTGAAGCCTGTTTATTGCCCGCCCGGTGAAGCTGAAAATGTCCTTGTCATCAGCAATGTCCGTCCGAAAATGTTTCAACTGTTTTCAAATATTAGTAGATAGAATAGCATAAAGCCCCACGTCCACCCGCTCGCAGTCTGACCAAATCCCCATATCCTAGTGTGTCCTCGGCTTAACTTTCTAAAAACATTGCAGTAGCATGATCTGAATAAACTAATTTCAACCCGCCGATGCATCCTCTCCACAAACGGGTTGACTGCATATCAGGATTATGCAATTTGTTTCAAAATAGCTTTTATTAGATGTGCATAAGACTTCAGTAATAAGCTTGATGTGCTGTCGTCACTAGCTACACAAACTATTACTAATGTGGAAGTGGCGGGGCACATAGCTCGTAGAGCTGATGACCGCTGGGGCAGAAAAGTTCTTTGTGGCGACCACGAGCCGGAAGACGTAGCGTGGGCACTCAGGCCTCCTACTAGGTAAACAGAGGGGTATTAAATGTTAAAGAAATTAATTTTACTCATGTTCTTCATCAATTTATTCATTATTATAGACTCAATTGATTTAGCATAGGCGCAGATAGGGATTGCAATCCGGTATCATTTTCAATCCGGCCGGATTGCAAAGTTACTTGGTCTAGTATTTAGTGATTTTTAGTTTTGATAATAGTACATAACAAAAAAAATAAAATACGTATTTATGGAAAATAAAGTCACTTTTATTTATATTTTTCGGTATTAATTGTAATTTTTGGTAAGTACGTACTATTTTTATTATTTTAAATTTGTACTTATAAATTCAACTTCAGTTCTTTTTAAGAAATAATGACTCCTAAGAAACAATTATACAAGAAGCATTTATTTTTTGCAAAGGAAAATGCAATGTAGTGTCGCGGCACGTCTAGCGATCTGGCAAATGCGCGCGCGCTTGACTTTCCCAGTTCACGTTCGTGTATTTTTTGCTTTACCGGATCCGCCACCGGATCCGGCGCCAACTCACCGGATCCGGTAGGTCCAAAAACACACCGGATCCGCCGGATTACCGGATCCGCCGGATTACCGGATCCGCCGGACCGGATTGCAATCCCTAGCGCAGACCACCGATTTTTAGTTGGCCGATAGTTGGGCCCGATTTTAATTTTTATGTAGAATCGTTCGATACTACACTACCCAATCGGTGTAGTGTGCGCATTTATCGGTCAACTATAAGTTGGTGGTCTGCGCCTAGGCTTAGAGACATAATTAATAACTAGTTTTTTCTTTCTTTCAATCTCCTAATTCCTCCTAACATACTCATTAGAGATTAACCAACGATTTAAAGTGCAGTTATGTTTTTGCGCTTAAAGTCCTGCACCTGCTTAGGGACACTATGTGTGCCGGTAAGATAAGCTGTAAAGCTTCCTAAAGCTCGGATTAAGCTTTAAGATAACTCGGTGTTAAGTACAGTGAGATAATTAGAGTTGGTCTAATTACCTATCTACCTTAATAAGATTTCTACAAATACCTACCTACATACATAACTAACAAATAATTAATTATTCTAGTTTTTGCCCCCGAATTCACATATCTCGTCAGTTTCTCCCTTTCAAAAACTGGGATAAAAACTATCCTGTTTTTTCCAAGGTCTCAAACTATCTGTAGGGGTAGGTAATACCTACCTACTAGGTATTACACCACATTTGGAGTAAATCGGTTCAGTCATTCCGTAGTAAGCGTAAAAAGGTAAAAGTGAGACAGAGGTGCTTTCGCATTTATATGGAGTAGGTAGGAGAGACCCACAAGGTGGACCGACGACCTGATGAAGGTAGCAAGGCGCTGGATGCAGGCCGCTACCAACCGCGCGATGTGGAAGTCACTGGACAGGCCTATGTTCAGCAGTGGACGTCCTGTGGCTGAAATGATGATGATGAGGTAGGAGAGATTAATAATAAAACAAAATAATAAATACGTACCTGTGCTATTTTTGTGTGAGCTAAGCTGAAAACGTATTGATATCCATATCCATTTCTATTCACTACGAATTCCATTAAAGTCAAAGTCAAAGTCAAAGTCAAAATTTCTTTATTTGTTTAGACTAATAAATAGTTCTTACAAATCGTCATTTTGCTCTTAAGGAGCCTCTACATGTCTCATAATCTTTTTACCCTACCAGCGCTTCGAGACCAACATTTGGCAAGTGCTGAGAAGAAGCGCCGCAACAAACTCAGTCACCACTGTCTGCCGGTTAATATAAATAAATATAAATAGTAGTAGTAGGTACATTCGATTCAGGAGCAGTTCACTGAATTTACCATGCATTCTTGTATGGTGTATCTTATAAGAATGGGTATACAAGATTGCGTGGTATATTAAACAAGGTAGTGACGTGCTAATATCTAGACTTACATATTAAGATACTAGTAGAAATGACTCGCATACATAAATTTGAATAACTTGGATTGACCAGTCCCCGAAAGCAGCGCCTGTTCACAGACATGACGAGTGAACCAGCCATCGCTTCACTCGACCATATTAGAGGGAATGTAACGACATTCAAACCTTAATTAAGACCAAGACAGGTCCGCAGATATTTAAAGACTGCTAAGGGATGAAACCTGTCCCTTTGGGCGGGATGAGGGGTTGAGATCCCGTTTCAGGGGCAGATCGGGAACTACAGACCCCTAATTTATTTCTTGCTTCATTTCCTTTCGGCAACTAAACGGCGCTTACATTGTGCGACGTTTTTATCACAGTAGATAAATCCTGCGGTTTTATCACAGTTATTTTTATTGCAAACTAGCTGACCCGGCGAACTTCGTACCGCCTATGTTCGTTTGAAATAATAATATTATATGGTGAAAGAATTTTTAAAATCAGTCCAGTAGTTTCGGAGCCTATTCAATACAAACATACAAATATTTCCTCTTCCGAGTAGGTACATAGGGATTTTCTAACTTTTATCTGTAGCTGGAATCTAGTTCACAGACAATGCTTTAACAAACTGTGAAATATTGTCTGTGATGAATAGAGTAACATTAACAGAGATTTCAAATTGAAACACTTCTATAGACTGTAGACTTTTTTAAAACTCATTTATTTTTGCAAGTAGGGTTTTAAAAAGGGCTTTTACACGACCCAATATTATATTAACGCTTTAACCCTATCACTGCTTCGGGACAATATTATAAATGGGCCAATTTCTGGGAACAAGCAGCGCAAGAAACTCGGTCACTATTGTAATTTTTAAGAAGTCAGTCGTTCCGTGTAAATCCCACTGGCTGCTGTAAATAAAGAATCCCGGCGTGAAAGAAAGATGCATAATTAATTGTCAGCCTCTCCTTCGTTAGTTAAAACAAGTTAATTTGCAAAAGAATGTCCCGGAAAAATTCGGACTCAAAGAGAATTTGAGCCGTTGAGGTTTGGGGAAAGCGGGGCCATTTCGGGGATTTTTATGGAGAAAAGTTTGAGA